TTAGATTGGTCCCTCTGTTTGACTCACAGACGTCACGTTTCACTTGAAAGTTGAAGAAAATAGCAGGAGTGGATGCTACGTAATAACAAAAACATCACCTGTTTCTTGTAGTTTCTCTTTTTGTCGAGGGTCGAGGGTAACATTTTTTCTTAAAAGCAAAGAAGCTTTTCCCTCCCTGTGAAGATAGACAGGTCGTGCCTAAAAAAATATCATAGAGCTTAGGCTCAGATATTTCAGTCACGTCTGCCTCTTCTCTGCCTTGCATGGCTATTCAGTGGGGTAGTTTGAATATGTATATTTCACCGATTCTTGTTTTTTAAGCTATCCCACTGTATGCAACCGAATTTTCCTGCTTTCAATGGAGTAGAAACGCGCCGTGAGATTCTAAAATACAAGTCATCAATAATCACCGACACCGGAAATCGTGACCTAGGTACGTAGGTGGGTAGAGTGATATTAGATGGTTTATGCTATCGCCCGAGTCGTCCCGCAAAAATAAACTCCATCATTGCAGAAATCTGAAACACCCTGAAACAAAAGAGGAATGCAAAACCAACACTTAACGGTGCAGTTGATGGCGGCAGTGGGATAATAGGAAGTCATGTGGCGAAACTAATTTTGTACACATCTTTATCCCTAATGTGCATTTCAAACAGAAATCAGAAGTGTCTGCAGCAAAAACCTATCTTTCACAACGGCTTCAGCGACTATTTCCTATTGTGTTCGAAAAGGGTAGTTTTTATTCACGAACAGCGATCAGATGGTCGGGCAAGAAATTTATGGAACCCTCTACCCTCGACCCTCGACAAAAAGATAGACCCTGTTTCTTGCACGTACCAGCCGCCCCATGGGGCTTTTGTTGCTATACGGAGTAGGAATTAATAAAAAATGCTTTTATTCTTCTTATAACGCAGCCCGTGAAATGCTTCTTTTCCCTACACACAGTGAATGTCAGACGCAGGCTTTTCTGGGTTTTGGTCATGGTCTTTTTGTTTATAGCCCGGGATGTGATAGAGTATTATTGTCGACGTCCCGAGGGTGGGGGGTTGGGAGGGTCAAATTGGAAAGGCGGTAGCGTTTGGTCCTGACCGTGTCCTATTTATATCGCCAAATTTTGTTTTTACGATTTAATTACACAAAATCCAAGGCCTGGTTATTCAGCGAAACCGAGATTGTGAATTCTGAAACGTGTAAATAGTGAATACCCCATATATTATTAGTATAGTATATTATTTTTCTTGCTGAAAACAAGAACAACAAAGATTTTGGCTGACTATGATTGGTGTGGTGACACTCCAAAACCACACCAACGAGGAAGGGAGGGGGGTTGTTGGGGGTCGGCCATAAGGAAAAAAAAAGGCACTAGCTGGGCTGATCTTTTAACATTTCCGACCTTTGCTCCCTTCTCTGGAGTGAAAACCGTGTCACAGAACTTTCTTTTGAATGTCCAGTGCTTCATATAGGGGCCTGTAGCAAAAATGTTCTCCGCGGTCAGGTCAGGTCATGTTTTTGTTAATACCTAACGCACCCCAAAAAATATCGAGATAATTTTTAGGGTATTTCAACAGCCGTAACATCCACTCCTGCTATTTTCTTCAACTTTCAAGTGAAACGTGACGGCCGTGAGTCAAACAGAGCGACCAATGTAAGACTAAAACACAGACTAAAAGAAAAGTAAAGTCCTTCCCTCCCCCTACCCCAAATGAAAAAAATATAGCCTGTTGGCGAAAGGTTGAAAACGCGATTTTTTTACGGACTAGAAAAAAAATGATACAACCCCCCCCCCCCCAAAAAAAAAAACAAACAAACAAACTACCGCCCTAAAAAAAGTCCAGTCCAGTTCAGTCCAGAGTCCAGTCCTGGTTTTCCACCTGGCCGTGAAGCACTATAGATTTTCTTTAATCTCAAGTCTCAAGCTTTTTACTGCAGCTAAATAACCTTTTAGGAAATATTTTAGTTTCTTTGGTTTTCTCCAACGTGCATGCTTCTGAATGGCTACCTGCGTGTAGCATTTGGTCCGTGAAGGTGATGATGATTTCCTGCTAGGTTCTGACGCTAGACGCTCTTTAATGTAGTGTTTGCAGGATGTTGAATTCTCACGGTAAACTATCTTGAGATCCCAATTGCTGCTTATACCGAAGCCACACCAAGAACATTCTTCAGGCGCTGATACAATTCATTTTGTTTTCTTGTTATAAGTGAGTCTTTAGACTGGAGCGCGATGTCTTATAGTTTCTTCGTTTTGAATTGAATTTGAATTGCTTTACCATAGTTGGCTTTACAGTCTATGCGACCGTACTTCCTCCTTTTAAAGCACTTACTTAACTCACTTCCTTGAAATCACATTCGTCCACAAAACGTTTACACGCCAGGTGACACGCGTCGTTTCCCTACGGCTGCAGTTTACAATTTGATTCACGAACGTCGCGAAGCATTGCGTGGGACTTCGCCCAGCTGTCAACATTGGTAAAATTAAGGACATATGATTGGCTATCACTCAACCCTCTTGGGGACAACGGATCTAGGAGAAGATCTAAAAATATCTTTAGAGGGATTACGATGGGTATAGGACCTATATGGGGGATTCGTTCTCTGAGCTTTATCCTTTCTTGGAATTCCTGATGTGTCATCACATGCAGTCTACATAATTTCCGACTTAGTTGAATTCCCACAATTTTGCGCGCCAATGAAAGAAGGTTAAACATTTAAAACCATCACTTTCAGTGATTACCACCAAACGAAAGTAATGGAAAAGCTGAATCCGCTGTGAAGATTGTTTAGACTGCTGAGGAAAATCTGAGAAAGAAACACTGAGTCCGTATGAAGCATAACTTGACCAGCACATCACACCTACGGCTGGCATGACAACATCTACCGCACATACATTGTTAAACGGTCGAACAAGAATTGAAAAACCTATGAAAGCAACGCTGCTGACAGGGGAGATTGCGGAAAAAGTGCTAGCAGAGAAAACTAAAAGAAACCAGAAACCTCAAGGTTATTATGACCAGACTGCCAAAGATTTAAATGAGGTAATGCCTGGAAATGCCGTTGTAGTCAAGCCTAAAGGTCTACTGAAAGCACAAGGGTAGAAGAAAGAAACTGTCTTACAGAATTGCGGATACCGTTTATACGATGTTAACGTGGATGGTAAACTACTTACAAGAAACCGTGTAGAGACCACAAAGGCTATATACAGAACCTCTTAAATGCGCTAAGATGGAACTAAATACTGTTAAACGAACACGTTCGGGGAGCTTACCGAAAATACCGCAAAGATACTCTAGCAGAACGTAAAATTGCAAATTTGCTGGAGAACGGTGTTAGAAGGTGCATCATAATTGCGATGCATCATGGGATGTCCGTGGAGATGAACCTTTCATAATGGCGTTGAGTTGCGTTTACTGTTCGTGTCTGTTGAGATTATATTGGTCTTGCAAAACACTGGTAAACAGAAAAGTGGTTCAACAACGGAATCACTCTACATATTATTGTTAATTTCTCAAAAAAACTTTAATTGTAAAGCGCAAGCATGCCTTTAAGGAATGATAATTTGACTTCGTCGGTGGTTGTTGTGTTGAAGTATTAGCCAGTTGTAAAGAGATTTTGTCTCGAATAGAATTCCGTTGCTCATTATCATTAAAATGGGGAGAGTATTATTTCATCTTCTAATTTGTTACTTCATTTTGCAGAGTACTCCAATGACATGAACCAAAAAAAGAACGAGATAAATAAGAAGCAGCAAAGAGCCAGGAAATTATTGGATGAATTTGTCAGGGGGATTGACGTCAGTTGTCAACAAGGTAGGGAGAGGAACATCCTCGGAGAACAAGGATAGCTACTCACTTGTTGGGAACATTCGCTGCTACTCGGTCTTCGTAAATGAGAGGATAAGTCAAGAGGAGGGTTTGCAAGACGCGTATTTTATTTCTAGTTAATTTAATCATAACTACCAATCGACGGGAACTGCCTTAGTAAATTGACACTTTGAAAGAGCGCATTTTTAACGTTTGGGCACCTTTAATATTTTTGCTTATCTTATCGACTTATGAACCATAAAAAATGCTAAATTGCGAATTTAAAATTATGTCTTAGTACATGCAGATGTTTATCTTACGGAAGGAGCAAGAGGCATAGGTTCCTTCTCAAACAATGCAGTGAAATTAGGGGCCAATCGCGCATGTCCCGGTGTAGAAGGCAAAAAACGCTATCATCATCTGAGCCGTAAATGTTTCAAAGAGTTGATTCACAGTACATATTGGTGCGAATTTCCACACTGCATTAAGGATTTTCGAAGTGGAAAAAGCTTTACTACGATCCAATCAAAGAAGATCAAAATTAATTTACGATTTTCACAATCCCTTAATTGTTGAAATTATGATTGAAAACTTTTATAGTAAGAAGATAATAATCTTAGCTTTTCATCTCGATGTAAGAACTCAAAGTTTTTCTTTGCTTCAGAGTTATCATTACTTATTTTTTTAACTCTTTAAGTGTTAAATCCGATGCTTTCTTCGTTTTACATCGCTCGTGAGTATTACAAGTTCTCACAATGACAATGAGCCCATCTCTAGCCAGTTTTGAAAAACTAAATTCCGTTTTGCATGTTTAAGCTTCGACTCATGCATCCCCTGTTTAAACCCTGCTCCGCTGTTCCTTAAGGAAAAATGTTGTCCCGGAGATGTGGGTCACCCTCCCAACCGAGTCAACTTTAACGAACCCCTACATGAGGAAAAAAGGTGACCCCTTTTTACGAGCCAACAATGCTCGCGCGCATGCTCTTATTGTCCAAAACGGCGCTAGCGCATGCTCTGATTGTCTCGCCTTGACCAAGTTGACCCGGCTGGGTGAGACAAAGAGTTTTTATGGAGAAAAGTTGGCCCCGCTAGGAGGATGACCCCATCATCGAAGAAAGGTGACCCAACTGTACTAGTGCGGCGAGACTAGACCCTTCTAGCCGAGCCAACTTTTGTTTGTCATGGTACGGTTTGCCAAGATTTATGAGGTTCTTGAAGTTCTTTGGGATTATGTGCCTTGATATCTACTACTATATGTCTGGTGCAGTTAATGGAAGCCTGCACGTCAGCATAAATGAAACAGTAGTGTTCTCTGCGAGTGGTGATAAAGGAGACATACGGCATAAAGCTAGTATAAATATATCATCTATTGTGGGATTGCATTGGGTAAGCATTAATGTAGGAAAAGTTGTTAGCTCGGGTAGACAAGCGACCCTTCTACCCGGGACAAGCTTTTTTTCGGAATAAACAGGTCCTTAGGATCGTAAGGAGTACTTTGAATGGATTAAGCATAAAACGGCCAATTTATAACATTAATCCTCCGACGTATAAGGGGGCGGGGGGTGAATGCCACCGCCCCATAAGGTTTTTCTCAGTTTTTTTCCTAGAGGATAAAACATCAGCACCTGACGTTTTTAGTAGCTGTTCGTTTATTCCTCGCGCAGATTTTGGGACAAGTTTAGTGATCGTCAGTTGCTATGATTACGAGATATGACGTCATAAGTAGCAGGTGGTCAAGCCAATTTTGGGTGAAAATACATGTTTTTTCAACTTCTTTCAACAATAAAAGTAAGTTTTGTGGCTAAAATCATGCAAAGTGTTTATTTATGTGTTATTTTTCATGTAAAGCACAAAGAATTACCATTTCTCGCGGTTTTAACCTGATTTCCAATTCTTGGTAAAATCCGAGATGGCGACCATTGTTGGTGACGTCACAGGCCTCCAGCAGTTCCACCACCCATAAAATATACTTCATCTTGTTAAGAAGATCATGACAAAGACTTTCCACTAAAAGTAAAATCGTTTCAATATGCTGCAACATATTAAAAACTCCGGGGAGGGGTTCCATCAACCCCTTCCCCCCTTCTACCACGGTGGGGGTATGAATTTGCTTGTTCGTCCGAGGGTTAAGATTCATTTCTTCTTCTCAACTTAGAAATAACATGCAACTTTGATGTATCAATGTGCGGTTTCCAGCCGGGCAAAGATGGGACGCTTTACTGGACTCGGCACAGGAGCAGCAGATCTTCCAGTAAAGGACCTTCCTATGATCACACCACTAGAAACATGACAGGTGAACTCTAAACTAATTAAATTTTAACTAGCCAGACTTACTATTAGCAGAGACAGTTACGGTAGTTAGAGCATCCAGTCATCAAATTGTAGACAATAAGAATTAAACCAAAACTTTTTTTTTTTAGTTTTCATATCTAAATCCAAGTTTTGCACTATCCTGGGTTATCTCCACCCAGCCTTCGGCCCGTTGGGCCTAGAAAAATTATCCTTGAGACTACCCTTATTCTTAGGGTCAGGTTGAGCCAAACAGACCCCCCCCCCCCCCACTTATTTGATGATCTGAATCCGGTAATATATAGTAACCCTATTTGCTCCTGCTATACAATATCCAGTTGCATGTAGCACTTCCCGTGGCCCTCAACTCCAGAAAGGAGCCTTAACACTTAAGTTTTTATTCATTTTACCTCACTTACGTTGCACTTACGAGGTCAGAGAACTATTTTAGCATTTGCGCACAGACTATGAAAAATCTTATTCTAGGTCTACTGAAAAACGTTTTTTAGTAAGCACTGGTTATTTTTCTTTCCTGTATCCGTATCTCTTTGTAAGTTGTTACACATTCATTTTTTACAGTTATCTAGTCAACAAGAACTTACAAAATTGGACAGTCGGTCCTCAACTTAAAACTACGGTTTAGTTATAAGTTGCTACCCTCTATTTATCTTTATCTCTGTAAAGGTTATTACATGTACATAGAAGCATCCAGTCTACATCAACCAGGTGATGATGCAAAATTGTACAGTCCTCCACTGAAGTTCTTTGGGATTATGTGCCTTGAATTCTATTACTGTATGTTTGGTGTAGCTAATGGCAGCCTGAACGTCACCATAAATGAAACAGTAGTGTTCTCTGCGAGTGGTGATAAAGAAGACATATGGCATAAAGCTAGTATAAATATATCATCTATTGTGGGATTGCATTGGGTAAGCATTTATAATGAGACCACGTCGATATCAAAACCGTCTGAAAACGGTTTTCTCTAAACGCAGTAGGAAGCCAATGCTTTTAAGCGGCATAAGGCAGGAATCTTTGACAAATTTTTAGGAATTTTCGAGAGTCTAAATTCCACAAATCTTACTTTAGACGGACTTTCTGTATTTATCAGCAAAACAAGTAAAACTATAATACTTCATCTTATCATTAACTATAAATTAAACGCAGACAAAAGGTAAGTTATACCGTAAAATTCCGAAAATAAGCCCCTCCATGTATAAGCCCCTCCAAATATAAGCCCCCCCAAACTCGTAACGCAAAAAACCCTCCGTTAAATTGCCCCTCCAAATATAAGCCCCCCGGGGGGCTTGTACTTGGAAATTGCCCTCAAATAGAAAGTAAAACAAAGCAAAACGGTAAATTTCCTTCCAACTATAAGGCTAGCCCAATCGATTTGAAACGCAAATTTCCCTCCGTAGATACGCCCCTCCGAATATAAGCCCCTCCAAAAATAAGTCCCTCAAAAAGGGCCTTTGAAAAATATAAGCCCCGGGGCTTATTTTCGGAATTTTACGGTATATCACTTTAAAGTTCGTAAATGCAAAGAAAAATATCACTTAGCGTTTCAAAGAGGATGTGCTTGCTGTTTGTTTCAATTATTTAGTTCTTTAAACATTCCAGTTAATTTTTCATTTCTGCAATATTAATATGTCTTTAAAGTCCACCATTAAAGCGACCCTTCCAGACTGATTACACTGTAATACCATGTTTTTGACAGGTAACATTTGAAGGCGTAGTAGGAAGCAGTATCACTGGTGCCATAGCAATTGATGACTTCTTCTTCACAGGGGGGGCTTGTCCTTTTGATGGTAAGTACTTCGATCAAAGGGTGTACTTTCACGTATTTTCAGAAGAAAAAAATATTTCTTTACAACAATGGACAAAAATATGTTTTTGTTTCGAAGTATTTTATACTCGCATTGAAACTATTTACGGTTTTCTTAAAAAGAAGTGACAAAAGTATATCGTCGGATGACACATAAAGGGTGGATTTATTTGTAATATGCGCGTATAGCCGTAGCATTCTCCCTTTGCAATTTTTCGTTGATCTTAAGCTCAAAACCAACTAAAAGAAAATAATTGAACGAGTAGATGCGACGGCTATACGCGTTGTACGGAATACTCTCTCCCTTTCCACAGAGGCCTCTTTGTGTCGTAGGTCGAGGCTGGGGAGAAGGAAAAATGAAGTGCGGGGGAGGGGGGGTGGGGGAACGCATTTCCTCATCCCATCTTCCGCTGCGTGCTTGCTATTTTTTATTTTTTAATTACTATTTTTGACCAGTTGAGTATCCTTTCTCGTGTCGTGAACAGTATAAGTTGTTATGTTAGTCAGTTATTATGTTAGGTATTTATAGGCCAGAATTCGCTCGTCAGAACTTCATCTTGGCAAAAAAAATTTCTGTGCAAGGTCTTTTTTGACAATAATGACCGGAGAAATATTAAACTGAAAACTCGTCAAATTCGTGGCGGGCGTCGCAGCTATGTAAAGTGAAGAGACTTCTGGGAATTAAGGTATCATCCAGGGTAAAAAATCATAAAAATGATTAAATAGAGCTAATCAAGAGCTTTCTTTTAAAAAAAATCCCAGGAAAAGATGTTTTTTCTGTGCAGACGCGCAAAAGTTTTTTCTATGCTAATTACTTTAAATTGATCGTTCACAAGTCCTGTCATACTTGATACGCATGTCGCTTTTGGACCAAGCTAATCACGCAATTTGACAGAAATCGTGGTATACAAGTATGTACTCACTGTTTTTCCTTGGATTTTGGAAGTGTCGCCCCATGTAAGGTAATCCGGAATCCGGAATCCAGGTAATTTTGGTCTGTGGAATCCGGAATCCACGGCTTTGGAATCCGGAATCCAGCTAATGGAATCCGGAATCCAAGCATTGTAATCCAGAATCCAGGTTGCTGGAATCCACTCTGTTGTGATGGTTCCAGGGCCTCTTCTTTTCCTTTAGCGACTGTTGCGTGAAAATCTCATGTCGCAAGGACGCGCAACAGGCATGTTCACGCGTGTTTCACTCGCAGGAACATCCCTTGTCATTGTGACATATCGGGTATCAATTTGAAACAATGGTCACATTATAATGACGTGACAGAATCCCAGGGAGTGATTCATATTACTGTATATTATCGCTCTTTCGAGCTCTTTATAAGACACCCTTTCGACCTTTTTCCCCGTTGCGCTTTTGGAATCGGAGGTTTAGATTCTTTTCCTGTTTGGGCGCAATTGGAACTAATTTTTGGATTTTCTTGGCCTTTTTCTTGGCCGTAGTATCAGTAGTCGGGGTGGTTGCAGTTACTGGCTTCTTTCAGGCACATGTCATCAGTGTCACTCAAAGAATGACATGCTGCACGTGGTGTCGACGTGGTGTCTTTCATTCAGTCCAGATTCAATCAGTCGAAATCAGACATCTCGAGAGATCACTTTGAATTTTTTTCTCAATCGATCGTTATCAATGTTTGTCAGCATGGGGAAGCACAAGAAAAAGCATGAGTCGGAAAGGTACGTACGTCTATAAATTCGGTGTTTGTGACTTTGTGATGGAAATGTTTTGGCGGCGTGGTTTTGAATAGATCAGAATGTGTGAAACAGTAATCTAAAACTTCGAGCGGCTATATCTGTCTGTTTCTATCATGTTCAGAATTATGAGCTAACTATCTTGCAAATTTATGTACAGGAGTCCAAGAAAGAAAGAGAGAAAAGCGGAGAACGAAAAGAAAAGTTCAAGGTCTGTGGAGTTGTCGTTGTTTGTTCTATTCGTGTTTTCTGCTCAAAAAGCGGTGGTTGTGCGAACACTTACTGAAGCGTTTCTTTGATCAAAATTATATTCGAAGGTGACAGCGTTTCCATACCATTTACAGACATGCTAATTAAATAGAGCATTTGATCAATGAAACGAACATACCAAAGTGAATCCAAAGTAAATTATCGAATTTACTTCACCGTAGGGCTCCGGAAATTGCTTGAAAAGGTCTGAGGAACTTGTCAACTGAATTTCCATTGCAGACATCTTCACATCGTTCCCGGCTCCGCAAAAACGTGTTTTTCTACACGAACCAAGATTTCGTGGCCAAAACCTCTCCACATCTCACTTTTTAGGCAGTCGAGTGTTCTTAGGGGCCTTTCATGTTTTCATAAAACATCCATCAATTTTCTTTTTTGTTAGTTCAATAACGACACAGCAGTTCAATAAGTACAAAACAGATCAATAACCACACCAGTAGTTCAATGACTACACATCAGTTCATTGAGCGTAAACTACATGCAGCTGCGGGAAGAATAGCCACAAATACGTTAGTTATTTTTTAATAAGAATGCATAGCATTAAGTAAGTGGTAAATACTCATTTAGCTATGGTACGAGAACTAAATAGATAAATAGCTATGTTACACTGTTATTAAGTTCTCCGGTGATGTCTGTAATGGGAATTCCCCCAAGTGCATTCTAACCCGAGTACTCGACTTTTCTTCCGATGGATCAGACATCATTTTAACAACAGAGGAGGATAACAGGCTCTGTCGAATTGCTAATGGGGACTACGGTAACGATGATGACAATGAGAATGAAACTGCACCACCAACTGCAGAGGATGAGGGAGAAGTATCCCTCCCGATAAGACTGCCGGGAGTTAGTTTATCAGGACGGAGAATTAGAACGACACGGTTTATTCTAAGATAAACGTTTCCGTTGCCTGCGTAGCTTGTAGTATAGTAACTGGACTATCTTCACGCTATTTGTTGGTAAGCTGTAACTGAAGTTTTACATTTCTGTGTGGCAATTAAACAATTCGGAGACGAATTATGTTTGAACCTGAAAAGCACTGATTTTGGCAATGTGTACCTCTTTTGTCACTGTTGACGCCGTTGTTATTATTAAAATAAGAATAGCCCTTCCTCGTTAGTATTTCTTCAACGATGTGGACTCAGTGGACTTCAGAAACCGCTCCTATATTAATAATCCTCTCGGGTAAGGCCAAGAATTATATTGTATACTTATATTTTATATAAGACAATGTACACTTCGGGTAAAAAAAGAACAAGCTTTTTTGGTGAAAACAAAGTACCAAGGAAACGTTGAAAACCAGAAAATAGAATTTTGAAATCTGGAATCCAGCCACTTATGGAATCCGGAATCCACGGATGTGGAATCCGGAATCCACAGGCATGGAATCCGGAATCCACAGCGTGGAATCCGGAATCCAAGACTCTCTTGGATTACCTTACATGGGGCGAGAAGTGAATGCCTCCAAAGAAGAAAAAAAAGCTGGTCCGTTTTCGTACACCACTCCAAGCCGAAAGAAGACGACAAAATCGTTTTGCAAAGAGTGGGCTTCGAAATTAGCAGAGAGCGACAAGGGCTACTACTACAATCAAGAAAAATGGCTAAAAGATGACAAAGCTCCTGAAAAACCATTGAAACCACTGCGGAATCGAGTTTAACGGGTTTCTTAGCGAGCGGGACAAGCTTTTTTGGCCTCGAAGCGGTCAGGCGAGCGACAAAGTAGCGAGAGGTCCCGCGCCATATAAAAATCGGACAAAGGACTGTATTGAAAGTCTATTGTAGCGGGAGAGAAGCTTCAAGAAAAACTCCAGGAAGCGGTTTGTTGTTAGTTTTTCCAGGGAAGTGTCGAACTTTTAGAAAATGTATCGAGTAAAAGTTGGCTTGGCTCAACTTGGCTTGTCCGGTGCGAAAATGAAAACTGCCCGTCGCAAATAAGTAATGATTCTTTCTAGACAACAGAAAGGATCGAACAGAGCAGAGCCTTTGAAATAAATTGTTCATCTGTTGCCGGGTTTCCTTTTTAACCTTTTCCTGCTGTGTCACTATTGTTGTCCCTTCTCTGGTATGTATCAAAATTGACAGCTTTGGTGTTATAATCTGTTATAATCTCTTCAAGGGTAATACGCCGCCAAAACTCTTTTTCCACTGTTTTCTCGAAATGAAAATCACGGTAAGTTGAGGGTACGTTTTAAACTCCAAGTCGGCAACCCGTTAACCAATTTGGCTGAAATTTGGCCAACTTACTGTCGGATAGTTTTTCTAAAAAGCCTTGACTGCGAATTTTGATTTCTTTTTTCGTTTTTGAGTTAGAGTAGTTTTTTCACAGGTAGTGCTAATGATTTGCTATCCGTAACTTCAACTGCTTATAACAAAAGAACAAACGCACTTGACAAAAATCTGAGACACGGTTTTTTAGTCAAACGTGTTAAGAAGCGAATGCAATCTTAATTGGCTTCTTCCGTTTATTTTTGGCTGGCCTGGACTTAAATTTACAGTGACACCCTCTTTTAAAAAAAGCTTCTCATTTCTAAATCGCGTTAATATTTTGATTTTTTAAAAGGAATAAGCAATAATCTGGAACTATTAAGCTTTCAGAAAATGTACTTTTTATGGGGGTATTTATTAAAAGCAAAAGCGCTAGAGCCGATCAACGCGAGGAGGGTGCTTGAGGGTGGATGATAAGAAAGGAAGGAAGAAAGGAAAAATTAATAGCTCAAGATCTCGAGCCATCATTATAGCGAGAAAAGCCTTCACACTTGTTGATAATTACTCCCGACTAGCTACTCGAACCAAATCGAACATTTTATTAATCGAACTAAATCAAATCGAACTTAATGGAACGATACGGTTCGATTAAGTTCGGTAATCGACCACAATCGACTGCTCCCCACCAAAAAGAAAAGACGTAATCGAACCCAATCGAACTTTGATTGGAATTTGTATATACCCTGTGATCTTGGGGGAGTCGAAGAGCAGATGCTCACCTTCTCGTCAAATTTAAAGCCTGGACGAGTCAAAGAG